ATAAAATGAAAATCGGATTAGATTTAGCATCAGCAGACACTTGATATTAAAGAATCATGTAAAAAAAATTAAAAAAAGGTTAAGGGTGTCCCTATTTTTGACTGAGCATTATGACAGTCAGAGAATTGCATATAACATTACCAAAATGTAGTTAGTAAATAGTTATAATTATACAAATTACAGTTAGATTACTATTTAACTGTAATCAGCAAACATGTATCAGCTGATTTACAGAAACTGAACCAATCGGACGCGTCAAATTTCCCAAGTGTTAGTATAATTGCATAAGTTCGGTAACCGTGAACGCACCATTATCGTCAGCTGTGATTGGTTGTCAGCAGCGTGTCTCCTCCTGTCCCGGAAGAAGGAAGAGATTTCGCACAGAGAGGAAAGGTCTGTTGACAGAAGAAAACACACCCAGGCAACTGACAGGTTTTAACACATTTTCTGTCCTATTAAATCTGCCCAGCATCGCGGTCTGTTATTTGGAGCTAGCAGGAGCTCTCAAGGTACTTCACGGTTACATTAGTCCACAGAGGAAGGAGACTGGGGCTTTCTCTCCATTTAACTTGTGGCTCTGAACTCTTGCAGGGATGGAATATGGCAGCAACTGAAACGCAGCTTATGTTAAGCGTCGGATTAATCGGTAAGTTTCAGTTCACGTGTCGCTTCCTGTATCTTGGTTGGTTTTCAGACGACGCCGGCTCTCTGTACGTGCAGGACAATCACATGATACCAGTGTGACCCAGAAGTGTCTCACCAGCAGGGCCCCGTGTATACTTTAATGAACTAATCATGGATGGGTTCCTAAATGCATCCAATAACACAGACCCGCCATGTGATGAAGATTTCGCCCCGGGAAGCTCCTGCCTTAGACAATTCTCAATGTCTGTCCATCATCTAATATGTTAAGATTCATATATGATGTTCCAACATGTTTTTATTTTTCCTCTACCCAGAGAAAGATGTGAATGGAGACACACTGTGGGTGTGGTGCTACCCCTCTGTGGGCTCAGACCTGAGGCAAGTCCTGCTCAGCAAGTGCTGTCTGACACACGACGGCCGGGATTTCCACACCTTTGTGTTTGGTCAGTTCTGCCGTACCTGGTACTACATCACCACAGTGGAGGTACAGGAACCCACAGCACTAAACAAGGTACAGTGTCCAGAGAATCATTAAAAGAAGTCATTAAAATCAACGAGAATGCAGAATTTCTATCAAATATTTGCATTGTGTTTTATTTTTTTGTCTCTGTTTCCCCCCCCCCCCTTCAAGGTCACTCATTTTTCAATCGTTGTTACAGCAAAAGACTTCAACCCTGAGAAGTATGCTGCACTTAGTAGAATACTCTGCAGGTACTGTGTGCTGTTCGGATGGCACTGTTTGTACACTTATTTGTAAAGTTTCTTCATTGGAGTGATGTGTTTTTCCCCCCAGGATGTATATCAAACATGGCAGTCCAGTGAAAATGATGGAGGCTTATGTCACCGTTCTCACCAAAGGAATCTGCCAGAGTGATGAGAACGGCTCATTTCTGATTAAGGACTATGATGTCCGGAAAGCGTACTTGGCTGGTTCGGTCAAAGGTAAGACATCATCACAGCCGTTAAGAGGAACATTAGTATTTTGATTATATTTATCTGTAATATGTGTAGATATGTGGGCTTCAGGTGCTGTGTGTGGGTGGTGGTGGGTTGTAGATTATGTGTTTTTATCACTTTCCATTCTGTGTCAGATGTGGTGTCTCAGTTTGGCATGGAGACTATCATCCTGTACACCGCTCTCATGCTGAAGAAGAGGATCGTTGTCCATCACCCTCGGATTGAAGCGTTGTTGGAGTTTACAAGGTGCTTTGAAGACTTCTATTCAAAGTATTTGGCTTGAAACTTTAAAACTTTATTTATCAATTATCCTGAGTCATCAGTGGGCAACTCTGTACCCATCTCTCCTTAGAGTCCTGCCGACTCTGACATGGCACAGGAAAGACTGGTCCATCTTGCACCCGTATGTGCACCTGACTGATATTGAACTAGAGGATCTCAAGAAATGTCCTGGTCAGGTTACCTCCAGGTTTATTTACTCTAATTTACAGTAAACCTTTGTTTAGAGTCCCCTCCATCTGCACTGTGATCTCATGGTGGAGAAATAAATAATTTATGCACCAATGTGTTTGCCTCTCTGCAGGATATGTAGCAGGATTTGTGGATCCAGAAGTGAGCAACAGATCAGACTTGTTTGATGTGTATGTGAACCTCCCAGACAGTGTCATCACAGTGTCCCAGAGTGCCAAAGGTACAGTATGTTCAAAAGAAAAGGGCAGTATGTTTCAAAGAGCGCTTTGATTCCTGAGAGAGTAGGACAACGGACTGACATTCAGTATCCTACCACAGAGGCCATGGCTATGGGGAAGTTACACAAGGACATCGGCCACCTTATTGTCCAGTCTGCTGAGGATGCTGAGAGGTCAGATAGTCAGGTCATTAAGGTGAGAATTTATCCACACGTCTGTATTCAAGCCACAGCTGTAAGAAATGTAGCCTTGAATCTAACGTGACAACCCCGTGTTAATTCACAGGATATTTCTGTCAAGACAAAAGAGGTCCTTGCCAACTTGGTGGCCCTGGCTGACGAGTGTGAAGACTCTAAAATCACACTGGAAGGTTTGAAGCAGCGTCATTTCCCTCCGGCGACAGAAAACTTCCTCTTTCATTTGGCAGCTGCCGAGCAGCTCCTGCGGATATAAACCTGTTTTCAGACACCGTACTGCAGGAAGACATTGTTTGTATGTATATTTTGGGATAATTTTTTTTTGAAAGGCTTGTGCACACTCACCATTATCACTGGAGTGTGCCCAAGGCACTTTCTCACAGTAACCGTCATGGGAGGTAGGGAAATGTCACTAGCATCACATTTTATCTTGCACTGCTGTGCTAATGACATGACTCAATACCAGTACCGGGATATTGTGCATCATAGAATTAGAGGACACATTTGGCAATATGTTTTTGTTATTTGCCAACAAATCCGATGAAAAGAGCCATGTTTTATTCGATTACTCCATTTTTGTCAAAAAGCTATTAAAAACACATCATTATGCCACACTGTTGCACTGGGTGACATGCTCCTTAATTACCATGAACATGGGCACTGTAGTCCATTTTGACTCAGTCCTGCTGTCATAAATACTCACTACAGCGCCACGTGTAATAATCCGCAGCATAAAAGAGCCCCCACTGAATGCTATTTACACACATTTGAGTTACATTTATTAAAAATGACAGAGCCCAGCTGTTTTAGCAAGTTATTTTACCTCTTTATACGTGTGACTGTTTTTAAAAAAAAAGATATTTATGTCTTCAAGCAGGAACCAGTGGGCTTGAAGCTGAGTGCCACAGACAGAGTAGGGAAGTCATAAAGTATTTGTACTGTTCTGGTCTTTTTGTGGGATTTGGTAACAATGAAACGTTTATGGACAATACGGAGCTGCAGTATTTGTCTCCAACATGAAATGGAGACAAACAAGCTGGTACTTTTTTAGTTGGTACATCTGGTAGTGCTTTCCAGATGTTAGTTTCCACTCTACAGTACAAACTGAGAGAGAGAGAAATCCGCAACGGAAGCTGAAATTGCTAAGATTAACACGTACTATTATAATTGAGTTAGTTCATAGAAACTGCATTATAGACATTGCACAATGTGGGTTTATTTACATTTTTTATAAACAATGTCACATTTTGTATTTTACTAATGACTTTAGTGTTGCAAACAACTGAAATACAAGCAAATTGTGTTGTATTATGAGGCTTTTTCAAAATGTTTTATAAAAGACGATAGGTAGCAAAAGAGCTTGATTTATATTGCATTATGTGTGTTTTTTTAATCGATATATATTTAGCGCTGTTGTTTGACAGTTCAGAGTACATTTTCAACCACACTGCCAGAAGTATGGTTTTGTGGCTCAGTATTTCAGAGTGCAATAAATAGAAAAGCTCATGTAAGTTTGAAAACTAAATGTATTTTCATGAATTGATGTAATGCTTCCTATCCATAGGCACACCGAATATTCCTACTAAATAAATAAAAGTAAAAAGTAGCTTCTTGCTTGTTTTAAAGCTGCGTTTCATCTTTGAGTCTGTTACATGCATGGTACATTTTCATCTGCATCATGTAAAAGAAGACATTTAATCCAGTAATCTCCTAAATAAAACATCTCCTCAGAGTCCTCTGTGGTAGTATAATTGTCCGTTGTCCGCCGCTGCCCGCAGCTCCTGCTCAACGTTTTCCTTCCTTATCTGTAAAACAGGGTCAATGTCAGCTGAGTTCATCAGATGGAAAGCATTACAGCACAGGAGGATCATGAATCTTACCGTTCCCAGTTGTGGAAAGAGACTGAATGAGACCGGGATCATCAAGCCTAAAACAAACGCAACACTTATGTGACGGAGAGGAGCGACCAGCAGGGAGTTCCTCTGGAAAGGTCTTGTTCTGGAAAGGAAAATCTATTTGGTAAAGTCTAACAAGTACGATTTTGACCAAGTAAATAGAATTTAAAATAATGGCCGACCTCTGTAGCAGCAAAACCATGAGATTAGGAACAGCAGCAGTGGTACCAAACAGTGCCGCTCTTGACAAAGCAGTTTCCCTCACAGCCTGAACAAAAAGAAACAGATATTTAACTGCAAGTTTTCAATGAGATGACTTATTTTTGTCCATTTGCTCCTCTTTTTTTTTTTTTTTCAAATGACCTTCTCTCCTGCTGCTTTAGAGAAGCCGAGAGGATTTCCACTGGAGTCAAACACTTGGATCCCGGTTTCTGACTCTTCACTTCTGACGGTAAACACATTGAAGAAGGCCAGTGCAGCTGGAGAGAGTTACACAACAACATGTTAGTTTAAAAAGTCCTATCTGTTATTACTGGATCCAAGCCAGCTGACTTACTATTAATAATTTAAAAAAGGTAAACAATGTACCACTTTGTGTGTACTTTGGGGTGAATTTAACAGACTATGTATCTGCTATCTGACATGCAAAATGAAGTATTCTGATTTATGATGCAATATTATTTTTGCTACAGAACTAAAGATTTTACCTGAGAGTGGGATTGGTACTATCGACCTAAAGAAAGTCTGGATTGGCGCGCTTCTCACACCAAGTCGGTTAATGAAAATTTGAGGAAGGGCCTGAAACAAAAGACATGTTAAAAAATGTAAAAAAAAAAAAAAGTTTTAAGAAAGAACTTTTTTAAACCTAGGTTATCATGTTATACACACCCCTGCACATGTTGCATAGGAAACCGTTCCAGCGATCAACAGAAGCTGCTTTAAAGACATCTTCTTACCCTGTTGGTGAGAGATAAAGACAGATAAAGTAAGGCAGAGACAGAGGGGAGGATGTGTAAAGACTCAAGATTAATCAGAAAGCAATGAGAGTCATTTTGGGTGGTGACAGTGTCTCATAACTCAATAAATGAATGAATGATAGATATACCTGCTCTGATGAAGAATTTCTGTTTGCATAGTTGAACCCAGCACTGTAACTCTGCAGCAAAAACTTAAAGAATACATTTTATATCATTAATGCACACTGTGTTTCAGCCACATGTAATGTAGTTTTAGAAACATGTTGATGTTGTTTCATTACCTGCCAAAACAGAGCGGGTTTGACATTGCTATGTGGCAAAAAGCTGGCAACAACCTGAAAAATTAACTCATGACATTAATTTTATAACCATTATCAAGACGTGTCATTATATATTTATTGGACGACAGACGTACCAGAGGTGCTGATATTGGCAACAGTGCTAGAAAGAAAATGACACAAGTGAGGACACCAGCATCTCTTTTTCAAATGAATTGTTTTAGTGGCATAATTGCATAGTAATAATACACATGTTACACTATATGCAAGTTTCAGTGTTTAATGAAGTATGTAATTCTACTGGAATTTAACTTGAACCTAATAAACATAGCAACAGCAGACAATTTCAGACTGAACACAGCTAATGAAAATTGTTATAATTGGACTTTTTGCAAATACTGAGATTTTTTGCCACTGCATGTCTACAGTGTTAATATAAATGCACTACGTCCTAAGTGAATTTTAATAACGGATGGAAACTATTAAAAACTTGTAAACGCCTGATTTTCTTGTACCTGGAGGTCGGAAAACTAGTGGAAGAGCAGCACCAGAATCAGCGTGGACGGATGACTGTAAACACAGAGCAGCCATCAAGACGTTGCACCAAAAGCAGCACATTAAACTCAAAAACATAAAACACACCGGTAGAATTAATTAAGCCAAAGTTCTATTTGAACAAATGTTTAATGCTAAACGTGTCGTTCCAGAATGCCATACTGTGACCAGAGACGAATTAAGATTGAGATACTTTTCTATGACACAGATCGACTTAACAAATAACAGTCAAACCCTGTTGGCTGAACCAGCAGGAAGAGATACACAGTGGTGGGTGTTTGTGCAGGAAGATTGGAAGTTATTTGCAATGTTTCTTGCAAGACTCACAAGTGAAAGGGTCAATGCCTGTCCATCCTAGAGGAGAAAACAGAACAAACACATTTAAATAAATGGACTGACAGACCACCGTGCAGTTAAGATTCCTAAACATAATCTGACCTTTTCATGTTGATTCTCTCCACTTTCAAGAAGAGCGTGGGCACTCTGTATTTCAGCCTGAGGAGAGCAGTATCACTAGTTAAACATCACATGTGTTCTACCAGAGACGTTTTGATTGTACTCATCTCACAGTAAGACATCACTGTGGTGGCTTACATCAGAGGAAAGCAGAGAGGTTGGATCAAGAAGATTAACCCAGATCTGTAGTCGACTGATGAAAGTCTGAAAAAAATGAAAGGTAACGCTGAATTGAGCTTAATTGTAACTGACTGTATATAAAATATCCTCATCACTGATGATGCTCTGCATGCTGAAACACTGTGCACAGTTACCTGTCCTTGGCTTTTCCAATAAAACAGATTAGGATCCATTAGAACAGCAGCTACATTTACTTCTCATACATTAAATAAAGTACAGTGACAATACTACAGTACATATATTGCCAGCATATTTTTCTTGCGTTTTTAAGGTCAAGCTCTGTTTAGAAACTACTTCCTCACTTCAACCACGTGTTCAGTTGTGGGCGGGCTCATGCTACATTCTGGGACATCAGAAAAGTCGGAGGTTAAGCTTCTGTCATGGCATGTTAAATTCAGTTTATTGAGCAGAAAGCAAGAGGGCTGATGCAAAAGATTTGTATGTGTAATATAAATAACACAAAATTTGCCCCCCCCCACACACACACACACTTTTTTGCCTTTCTTAAATAATTAACCAGACATCTAAAAACGACTTGAAGTATGTTTGATAAATAATCCTCCCCATATATCCCCCACCCCATTGTTCAGAAGGCATTTAATTGCGCTCTTATGTTTTTAAAAACTGCTCTTCAGCCAGAATGACCTTCAAGGTCGACTCCAAATTATCATCTGAGTAGCTCACGAGGAGCACCTGAAGGCAGCACGATAGCTTCTTTCATGCTTTTAGGGCTTCATTTGTAGCAGTAACAGTGTCGCTGTTTTGGGCTTAATGATTGAAAAATACAATTAACAGAATATCATAGAAGTGAATATTTTGTATTTATCTTTTCTAGAGGACAACTGTGCGTCGAGCACGTGCGTCAATGACGTATAAGCTGCTCAAACCTCCCTCCTCTGACACTTTCCAAAATGGCAGGCACCATTGGAAGACTGCTCAGGACCTCTGTAAGTGTAACTTGGGTGCAACATAACATTTGCTATCGAAACTCTTTCGCCTTAGTTTGGTATGTATTAACCAGTAAGTATCTACTGTGGATAGTTGGTATTGATGAATAATTGACCTCTGCACGGTGGCGCTGTTATGTCATGTGTGTCGCACATTTTAACCTGGGCAACAACCGTCTGGTCCGCGGCCGCTGTTATAGAACAATATGGTCCACAAGATATACTCTAATAATATTCTAAAAAAAAAAGCTATATAGCAGAGTAAGAGTTCCCTTCTAAACTTTTAACGCAAAGAGTTGCTTTGTAAAGTAAGTTACTCAATAAATTGCTCACATTAACGCATTGTGCTACTGTAAATCATTATTTTATCAATTACTTTTTGTTTTTATTAGTCAATAAATAATAAATAATTTTACGTTGTTACCATTCCATACAATAAACCTTTTTCACACTGGACATTGTGACATATGGCAGAACAGGAACAGCACAGGTGAAATTAAAGACATTAATTAAAGGTGTCAATCTGTAATTGTCGGCTGTTGCAAAATGTGTACTGGTAAAAGGTCCTTATATGTGCAGCGTCATTTAGTATGCATTTATTTTGTCATAAGGGAGACTGCAGATTTTTGGGTGGAAGTAAACACAACAGGAGAATAAAAGTATAAAATTTAGCATTTTCAGTATTAACAAATTGGGTTGTTACTATAATTTTACAGTTTGTCTTTTGTTCAGCTTAAGCATTTCTATAGAAATATCACTTGTAAATTATCTTAAGCTGTTTTGGTTTCAGGGTCCTGGTGTTGCTTAGTGGGACCATATACAGTCTATGAGTGGGACATTTGAATAGCAAAAAGTTATTGTTATTAGTAATGCCTGTGTTTTCCTACTTTGTCAAATGTTTGCAGTGAAAAAATTGTCCATTCAAAACACAATGTTGGCTACATAATGGACTTAAAACAATTCACAAGCATTAATCGGATTCATCATTTAATTTTGGAAAGCGAGCACACAAGGTAACCTGTGTAAACAAACAATAGAAAAACACTTAACAGAATTTTCTTCACAGAAAGCATATTGTGCAGGCTAGGGTACAATGTACACACAATGTAACAGCAGTTAGTGTTGTCACAGCAGGTGTTTTGCCTTGGCAGCAGGTGAAAAACATGTGCTGTGATATCGCTACATGTGCAGCATTAGTTCTATTTCTAATGTCACTCTTCTTGAAAGTATCCTTTCATATCTAAACTAAGCATGTTCCTTTTTTTATTTTTATTTTTTTAACATATGTAAAATAAAAAGATATTACTTTTGTTGCCTGAAGGTGGTGCACGGGACTGACACTGAGTCTGTTTTCAGGAGGGGACAGAGCAGACTCTACTTCTTGAGGAAGCTATAAAGGTTCTTTTAAACTGTGCAACAAGATGTTGCATATTTATTTACCAGTGTGTCGTTGCAAGTACAACTTTCTTCGCAGCCATCTGTTGGGGCAGGAGCATCAGAGTCACTGACACAAAGAAGCTGAACACGAGCTGGCTCTGTGCTGGGGACTCTGCCCTGGAGCCTCTCCAGTTGGTTTTGGATTGAATGATGTTGCACAAACTGCTCAAAATTATGGATAACACTTCATATTGTCTGCACGAACTGCAGACTCAGACATAAAAGAGACTCCTACATCTTCGCAGTAACAAGGGCCGCTACAGGAAGTAATTTCTGCCCACTGCAATTAATATATACAATGACTCCCCTCTGGGCAGGGAGAGGAGACTTCCTCTGAATGACAATGTACACTCATATAGATATAGTCAGAGACATATCTTTTAAGCCTTTTTTTCATTCTAGAATAGTAGTTTGACTTAATATGCATTTGTAAATTTGTTAAATGTATTTTATTTTAGCCTACCTCATGCATGTTTCGTGTAAGTTGTGTATGTTCTATAACTGATCCATGCATGCATGCGTGGCAGATGTAAAACTGCTTTGTTATGGCTCTGCACTGGATGATAATGACATCCTCCCTCTCATAACTACATGTGGACATGAATTGATAGTATATAATGACAAAAATAATCCCACATTAATTATTTATAATTTATGTTATAAGAAAAAGTTGTTTTTAAAAAACTGAAAGTTTATGTTTCTGCATTATTGAAATGTCGTGGATATCCTATTGCATTTTTAATACATTACAATTCCAGTATATTCTTTAGAACAGTAAGAATGTATGTCTTTTTAGGATTAGAAGGGAATTATTCATATTTCTATCTACAAATATTCAATATGTAGAATAGGATTTGAATATCTCCATCTCAGAGCTGCAGCTCTTGGATGTCATTCATTTTTGGCACAGGACCTGTTGGCATCAAATCTGATGATATCCTGTCTATTGCCTGGTCTGCCACTTTATTTTCAGCTCGTAACACAACCCCACATTCATTAATGTTTCTTAACAAGCCTTGAAGATGTAGATGTACTTTATTAATCCCGCAAGGGAAAATTCAATGTCACTCTGTTATTATTGTTAGTATTTACACACAGGTCCGAAATACATATGCACATGCACAAACAGGACCCATAGCAACACACGGAGAGATGTCAGAGTGAGGGGGCTGCCACTCAGTGTGTCGCCCCGAGCAGTTAGGGGTTCAGGGGCTTGCTCAAGTCCTCCTTCGGCAGTGCCCAGGAGGTGAACTGGCACCTCTCTCCTCCTGGGGTTGTCCAGCTCTTCGGCATCTCTCACATCAAGACCTTTGCTCACTAAACTCTGAAGTGGCAGCAGCAAAAGAAAGCTATGGAAAATAATAGAAAGACATCTTTTCACTTCCTTCCATCCATCGTCAACCGCTTATCCTGCGTACAGGACCGCGGGGGATCTTTTCACTTCATGAATGACAAATGCAACAGATTAAAACCCCTTTTGTGTACATCTCTAAGCTTCATACCTACATTTTAGACCTCATGTTGGGGATACAAAACTGTTATGTTGGCTTAGTATTCTTTCAGCGTATTTGTGGATTATTCATGTTGATATGTTTTTGTTTGTTTTAGGCAAGGGTTGCAGCAGGAGGGTTAAAAGTCACAGCAGCCTGTCAACATGGAGCAACTGGGGCTGCAAGAATTCTCACCGGTCCAGCGCTTCAGAGAGCATGTTTCTCTACCAGTATGTGCAAATAATTGAGAAAAAAATTGGTAGATCTGGATGGTTTTGTCAACACTATTTTAGTGCAAAGATTTTATCATTTTTCCTCCTCAGCATGTACAGATATCCCGGAAGATCTAGTTGAAATGCACTATTCATTGTTGTGTGTTGTGGTCATTAAAGCACAGCCTCAGGTTATAGCTGGGCAATAGTTTCATGATATTAAAATGTTTAACTTTTGTTATTGAAATGTATACAATAAGGCATCTGTATGCCCTATCATATAAAATATTGAATTTGATATTTGATCAGCGAACTGATCAGAAAGAAGCTGTTCACGTGAACGAGATAATGTTCAGTAACACACTCAACTTTTGTTAGTTGGTATTTGTTGTTGATGTGATAAGTATCTGTCGTTAACATTGATATTCTTGCTTTTAATTACTGTAGAATGGCTTATGGTGTTAAAATAGGAATTTCAAATTGATTGCATGTCCCAATTGCTCGGCTCAGTTAAGTAAATAGCTTCCATCAGTAAAGATTTCACTAACACAATAAATAAAAAAAATTAGTGTACAGTAGCACAAGCAGTCATGATGTGTTACCATCACTTTAGGTGTAAAGTGAGATTGCAGAGAGATGTCTCGAGTTTTCAGTATGAAGTCCCAGTACTTCACACTTTAAGGGTTAGCTTGGTTTTAAAAAGCAAATAATAAATAAATGGTTTGACTTTTCTTTATCAGGCAATTCCAGATGGGCCCCTGCTGTCACTCAGCCTGCTCCTGCTTTTAAGGCCACAGCTGTCCACAATGGGGAGTTCAAGGAGATGAGCCTCGCTGATTTCAAGGGCAAATACCTGGTCCTCTTCTTCTACCCTCTGGATTTGTGAGTGTTTGTGACATGCATGCAGAGATGAAGTGAATAACATGATGGCTTTCCCTACCTTTTGATTTAAATGTACTTTGAGTAATAAAAAATATTTTAGGTACCTCTAATGACCTCTGATCACGTACAAATTTGAGGGAACTCAAATCACACAGACTCCACTCCTCTTCCCATCCAGTCACTTTGTGCTTTGTGACTATTGAGCGAAAATATTTCAATCTCATCAGTCCTCTGCAGATGTACTGCAGTTATTTTGTGGTTGGGTCAGTAAACATTTTCCTCACAGTGCCTTTTTGGTTTTCTCTGTGTTTGTCATATTGCAGCACCTTTGTGTGTCCAACAGAGATCATCTCATTCAGCGACAAAGCCAATGAGTTCCATGACGTTAACTGTGAAGTGGTGGGTGTGTCTGTGGACTCTCACTTCACTCACCTGGCATGGATCAACACTCCACGGAAGGTACTCTCATCTCTTCTAGTAGTTATTCATTAACCCACACATGGTGCGAGGTTCAACTCTGAGTTCTTTCATTCATCCTTTGATGTGTGCCATGAAGGAGCCTTTAGTAAATGACTGAGCTGCAAGTTCTGTAGGTCTGCTGCGTTCACACCACTTTGTAATGCTGAAATAATTACTGTGTCAGTGTTAATCTAACGTGTATTTTAAAACATGGTGTTTTGTCAGACTGGAGGCTTAGGCAACA